TAATTGCCTGCAGGAAAGATTTTTAAAAATTTAAATTGCTGTAAAAGGATTTGTAGGAATGGGATTGAAATTCAGAGGGCCGGAAAGAGTTAACTGTTCTGTTTCACAGTCCTCCTTTACATACACACACACACACACACTTATCCCCTGTGCAGTGATTAAGCATTTATAAAGCTTCCTTTGGATCAGTGGAGGATTTTCTAAGGCTTAATTGCTCCACAGGGGGCGGAGAGATGGCTGCAGGTCAGACATTCTCTACCAGCAAAGGACAGTTATGTGAAAAGGGGAAAATGTAGAGTTTGGATATCTGCTCAGTTCTTAAATTTCTAATTAACTTTTTGAGTGTCACTCTTCAACACATACATTTTATAGAGCAGGAAGGGTTGAATTTTGAGGTTTAGAAATACATCTTGGGTAACAAGATGTCTAAGTTTTATGAGATGGAAACCTTAAGCCTAAAATACTAACATTTTGTAGCACGTGCAAGGAAAAATTGTGTAGCAACCCTGGTTGGAATCCTCTAGTTGATATCAGCCTTTAGCAGAGCATCTGTGTACAAGTAGAAATAAGCTCAGGCAGATGCTTAAGATCCAAAAGAACAAGGGAGGTTTATTAAGGAAATGACATGCTCCAGTCAAAAGCTTGCATCTCTGATCTTTCTGTCCTCCTGGAGAAGGGGGAGGGAGTACCTTCTTCTTCTGTAATGGGATGTGGGGTGAAAAGGAGGGCATAAGAATTTCAGTCCTCCAGTCAGGGGGAAGCAGAACCAAGATGATGAAAGGATCACAGAGGGAATCCCTTGCTTGCTCTCTCTACTTCCAATAGAAGAGAATTTTCTACTTATAACACCCTAGCGGTCAAGAGGGTGAATGGTGTTGATGTTTCTGGAGTTGTATCTTCAACCCAACTTCAACTTTGCTAATGATTGACAGTTTATAACCAGAAAGTTAGCTGAACTTTTTCGGTAACTAGCATACTAGTGCTAAAATTAGTGCTTCAAAAGGTAACTCATTTGAAACATCTTTCACAATTGCAGGTGTGAGCTAGCTGATTCCACATCTTTCTTTCTCACTCTTTTAGTATTAAATGCACCAGTGAAAAACTATATTTCTTGTCATTGTCACTTCTCTTTTCAAATCCTTGAGCAGGAGATGCCAACAGCAAAACAGAAAAAGTTCTTTCTGCTTTAAAGATTTTTTTCTTTAATTGGCAGGAGACATTAAGCTACTTACATAACTTGTGGATAATTTTGGAGTTTCCATTCCAAAACTAAAAACAATTAAATTCAGCTTGCTCTGGGTTCATATCCAAAATCCAGGCATGGAGCACAAGCTGTCATTGAGAAAAATAGCCTTCTGTTACTGATGTTCTAACTGAATGTCCAGAGATAGCTCCAGTTTGAAAATCCATTACCCTAATACAGAAATAATATGATATTTAAAATATCTGTGTTAGCACCTTGTTCCTCTCTCCCCCCCCCCCCCCCCCCCCC